AGAGGTGTTATCTTCTGTCATGCACACTCCAGGAAGAAAGTAACATCAGCAAGGCAAGAGGTCTTGGATTGTCTCTCCTGGGAAAAGGGACGGGAATCCTTCCTGCTCCCTGCTGCTCAACATTATTTCTCTTCTGATCTTCTTTCTCCTCCTGTCAGTCCTCCTTCATCACACAACCTCTCTCTCTCACCACTAAAATCTTAAAGACAGTGAGATACAATGACAAAAGCAACTGTATTCAGAGTTAAGAGAACGGGGTTGCAGTTTGGACTCTTGTTAGATAGCTGTGCATCCTTCGTCAGCTCATTCAACCTCTCTGGGCCTTAGTTTCTTAGACAAAGTGGGGGAGTTGGATTAGGGAGACTCCAAGGTTTTTTCTAACTCTGATATGCTAGGATCATGTGTATCTATGATGAGACATTTTAATGGACGATGCTACCCTTTTCTTTCTTGCCTGCTCCTCTTCACCTTTTCCCCTAAGCTTGTTTATACATTAAACATATATATATATATATATATACATATATATATATGTAAATAATCATTGTATAACTCCCGAAAACTGCAAAAGAGTAATCCGTTTTGAAAATAACAGTAATTTTCCGATCTAGACGTTTATGGTTTTCTCTGAAATTGTTCAACACTTGTATGGATGAATTATTTTTTATAAGATATCATCCCCAAATTCTATGCCCTTCAGAAAGCACTTTTCACTGTTGTTAAATATTACTAATGGCTGACTTAGTACTCCATTAAATTTCTTAAAAACAAACAAAACCCCCCAGAAATTGTTCCTTTTATACATTCTGGGCTATACCAGGTATATTAATGATTATATTAATGAGGGAATTAGTGATTCTGAAGATAACTAGATATTAACTTTTCACAATAAATTGGCTCTTTCCTTAGAAAATTATTTCCTTAGATAATTATTGCTTTCAGGAATTTGTTACAAGTAAATAAACTCTAGAATAACCATAAACTACAGATAAAAATAACATGTTACTTTCTCCTTGCTTCATGGAGAGTATGATACAGCCACAAAGCTGAACATTTTCCACGTGAATGTAATTCATGAGTTTTAAAAAGTTAAAGCTTAACATACAGGCAGTAAGCAAAATGTCATTTGAATAAATATAACCTTAACAGAAGTAGAGAAGTTATTTTCAAGATAGTGTTTGATTTGTCAAGAAAAAATACAAGCAAATTTCTAACATTTTATGAGGGTGTAAAATTACTACAAAACTGTCTTTAAAAAAAAGTCAAATAATGTTAACCTGGAATTACTATCAGCTTTTGGAGTAGGTGGG